GCAGCTGCTAAACAGCTGCCTGCTTGGCTGTTCCTCCCTAGCCACCTGGCAGAGGCACCAGTAAGGTGCAAGGAGAAGGAACGGGACTCCGGACGACAGAATACAGCAGAAAATGGATACTTCATGGACAAGCCTGTCCATTATTCAAAAAATAGCCCAGGTACTTGGAATCCCAGCAAGTGCAGCAATTGCCTACATCCTTTACCGCCGATATAGGAAAAGCAGAGAAGATGACATTGAGATAATGATGCCAGTTCACCAGGAGGCTGTGAAGCTGATCACTGGTAGACAAGAAGCACAAATATAAAGGTTTCATGAGAAGGGGAGTGCTACCTCTCACCCTTCATTGCTGAGGTTACTCAAGATATGATTTTTTCAAACAGTCCTTCAGTATTAGTTTATGAACTTTAGTTTAATACAAGGAGAAGAAATGGACAGTCATATTAGGATATGTAAAATTTCTTGTATGTATCTGTGCACATCTAAAGAAATAAAAAGAATATACTTCTGGAAAAAAAGCTTTGTTTACTGTTTTGCCATTTTTAGACTTAAGTGATTTAGACAACAAAATATTTAGCATTAAATGCGATGTATGAGCAACATATTCTTAATTTAATAAAAAACATTCTACAAAAATACAAAGGAAGTATGTTCCATAACAGAGATAAACAAAAGTGGCCCACTTAATAGCAGCATTACAGCCAGCAGTGGTGGTGCACACCTTTATTCCAGCACTTGGGACACAGAGGCAGGCAGGCAGATTACTGATTCGAGGCCAGTCTGGTCTACAGAGTGAGTTCTAGGTCAATCAGGGCAAAAAAAAAAAACAAAAAACAAAAAACAAAAAAAACTGTCTTGAAAAACAACAAGAATAAATAAAAGAAGTACTACCAAAATTTGCCAATGTTTTCTTAGCATAATTGTCACAGGGCTACATTTGCAATTGGGAGGTAGAAGCAAGAAGATCAGAAATTCAAGGCTACTCTTGACTCAATAAGCTAGAAAAGTAAACTACCCAAGTGTTGTCCTCCTTTTAAGTTGTTGCTACCTTTTAAGCCACAGCTGTCCGAATCAGCAACTATCAGCAGTGGTTAGGTAGCAAGAGCCAAAGCCTGAGGGAATTCTGTTCCCTCAAGCAGACTCTTTCAAAGCTACTAAGGGAATTTATCTAAATCTCTGCCTCTCAAGAACTCAAGATTCAAAGGTTGAGATGGAATTCTGCTCCTCGGGAGGCTGAACAGTAAGAAGCTCACCTCCTCCTCTTCTCTAATCCCTCCAGAAATGCTCATGTTTTTCCTTGCCCCCTCCTTAAAAACCCTTCTCCACGTAGCTCCTCCCTACCACTTCCTGTCATGTACTTGCTGACCACAGGTAAATTTTATTTAATCAAACACATCTTTGCATTTTTAAACAAAGGTTCCAGAGCATAAACAAAAGTAACACATCTTAAAATAATATTCTACAACACCCAAGTATAACTAGATTGTGAAAGCTACATTCAATGAAATGCAGTCATCTGATTTACATTCCTGTGCCCAACACAAACATTCATGGATACTCAAATCTCTTACATACAATGCTGTAGCAATTTCTACAGATATCCTCACATACTGGTTTCAATATTTGATGGGGGATGTCCTTCTGTATATATGTTTCTCTTATTGGTTGATGAATAAAACACTGTCTGGCCAATGAGGCAGGAAGATAGTTGGGACTAGGAAGAGAATTCTGGGAAAGGTAGGCAGAGAGAACCAGCCAAAGACAGTCACCATGTAGTTGATGAATGATTAGAAGGTCCGGACAGTCTCTTGGGTTAATAATTAAGACAGAGCTACTCAGTAAGAAGCCCTAGTCATCAAAGTCACTGTGTGCTTATTTGGAGCTGAGAAGGGCTGTGGGACACGGCGGGACAAGAAAACCTCCGCAACAAATATTATTGTAATGGCTAATACATTAAGTTCTGTTGTGGAGATATTTTGTTTATGATATAAAAAATAAACCTTGCCTGAAGATCAGAGTGCAAAGCTAGCCACACTAGTTAGCCATAGAGAGCAGGCAGTGGTGACACACACCTTTATTTTATTTATTTATTATGTATACAACATTCTGCTTCCATGTATATATGCACACCAGAAGAGGGCACCCAATCTCATAATTGTGAGCCACCATGTGGTTGCTGGAAATTGAACTCAGGACCTCTGGAAGAGCAGCCAGTGCTCTTAACCTCTGAGCCATCTCTCCTGCTACAAGACACCCCTTTAATCCTAGCAGCCACACTAGTTAGCCATAGAGGCCAGGCAGAAGTGGTAAATACCTTTAATCCCAGCACTCGGGAGACAGAGGCAGACAGATCTGTTAGTTCAAGCGCACCCTGAGCTACAAGAATTTGATCCAGTGTATAAGAGAAACAGAGCTCACACAAAGGTGATTTCAGTCCTTGGGATCCCACTCCTTTAATCCCAGCACTAGAGAGGAATATAAGGCGGGGGGTGGGGGGGCTCAGTGCAGTCTGAGGTTTGGTAAAGATCTGAGGTTTGGTAAAGACAGATGAAGGCTAGAGATGCAATTTGAGGACAGGATTGCCCTTTCTGTCTGACCATTGGCAGAGGTGAGAACTCTCCAGTGACTGGCAGCTTTACTTCTCTAATCTTCAACACCACCAGTATCTGAGTTTCTATTATCAAGGACAATTAGAATTCATGCTACAGTCTGTAAATTTCAATATAGGTACCACTTTTTCTCTCTAATTTATCTGTGGTTGCTGTTAGCAGCCCAATCTAGCCTAGAAACCTCCTAATTTACTCTTTGCATATTGGAATTACAGGTGTGTATCACCATATACATCTAAAAGAAAATAGCCAGGTACAGGTCAGTAATTCAAACTACTAAGGAGGATAAGGCAAGATAATAACTTGAACACAAGGGTAAGTGTACTACATGAAGATAAAGAAACCTCTCTAATGAATGATGACCAGATAGACAGATGGGGTGACAGTCCTTAAATAGGTGTAAAGAAGGAGGAAAAGATCTGTCTGTAACACTCCCATCAACTCAACTTTGTTATTACTTAACATCATATCATTATTTTAAAAGTCCTACTCCAAGGCAACCTACCAAGTCTAATGATAAAACTTAACAGTAGTTTTAACTTGCATAATATATTTGATAACAAACCTCATCTAATAATAAAATATAGAAATATTGGTTGAGGATGTAGTTCAGAGTTAAGAGTGCTCATTTTTCATGCAGGAGGCCTTGGGTTCAACTACCAGCACCAGAGGGAGAAAAATAAAATAGATTTTAAACTTGATGATGGGGGGGGGGGGAGTTATATCTTTCAATATACTAAAAGTAAAAATCCAAATACTGTTTACAACTCTAAAATTTGAAGCTAAACAAATTTAATTAAATAAAATTTTTTAAATCTAGAATTGCACGATAATTTATAAAGATTTGGTAAAATACAGAATCACATTCATTTTGGGAAGAACTATACTTACTTAACACTGTACTACATTAGTAACTGTCCTTGAAAACATGAAAAGCATGCATTTAAATCAGAATGACCATGCAATCAGTGGTCATTTCTAAAACAAAACAATGCTCACTACTAAAAAGACCAATAATGGTGACACTTCCTTTTTCACACTGTAATTAAGCCTACCTAAATAGACTTCAGTTTGTGGTTTCAAAAGCCTAAATAAAATCAAGATATCACTTATTAAAACCCTAATTAAACCAATCCAATCAATAAACATAATCCTACTGAAACTTGTATCACAAAACTACCTCATAAGACAAACCCATGCAATTACTGACTACCAGAGACCTCCAGTATTTACACATATAATCCTAACTATGCTAAACTAAGTCACATTTATTATTTTGCTCATAGTAGAGGAGCAATCTCAAAACTAAATATTTGAATGTTTTTATATTTAACTTGAAAAACAAGTATAAACTGAAGTCAACATTTGCTAAAATAACTACAGCATTTCCCAAAGAGATATAAAATATTATGACCTCATTTTCAAACACTAAATAGAATCTGCAAACATATTTCTAAAACCAGTTCATATCAAATCTCCAAAAACATTCTTTCTCCATTTAATGTAGCTTCTTTTACCTTATTTCCATTAAGATAATTCAGAGGGGTTATCCCTTTACTATACTGCCAATATATTCTTAAAACAACCACAAATCGGTGCTCAACAGATGCTCAGTGGTTGAGAGCACTGGCTGCCCTTCCAAAGAACCCGGGTTCAATTCTCAGCACCCATATGGCAACTCTCAACTTTCTGTAATTTCAGTTCCAGGGGATCTGACACCCTCACACAGACAAACATGCAGACAGACCACCAATGTACATAAAAATGAAAAAGAACCACCAATCAAGTAAGAATAGCTCTGGCATATTTGGTTTTAATTAATTAAAAATTAATCAGCCTTTAAAGTAAGTAAAAATGAAAGCAGAAAACAGGTAAATCAGAACAAAGGTTAGTATTTAGGCAAGATTTAGTATTTTGATTAAAAAGGCAAAAAATATTCACAAACAGATGATATATTTGGCTGCTAGAAAAAATAAAACATTAGCATCACTGAAAAAAAGTCAAGAATATTTAGAATTCAAAGCTGTTCTATGATAAAAGACAAAAGCTGATGAGAAAATTACTTACATGTGGAATAATCTGTTAGTGATACATAGCAACAAACTATCATTGCTCAAGTCACCTCAAGATTTTCTAAGATGACCTGTTAACACATGCAAAAATACTCTCATGCTGTCAATCAAGTTGTATTTAATTTTCAATTACAAGGGTCAAAACCATATTTACAAATATGGCATTATTTAAACCTAATCTTTGATTTAATATTCTATTAGCCAAAATTTTTCTGAATTTCAATGCTTCCCTTTAGCTGTAAAAAAACAATTTTACCTAAAAAGATTTTTTAAATTTTAATAAGTGTGCTACATAATTAGCAACAACAAATCCACTTACTTTTTTCTCTTTCTCATGATGTTTATCCTGAGAGTGAGAGGAAGAATCACTTAAACTTTGATCATATGACCTATTAGATCCCCGTTTGCTCTTTTTCTAAAAAAGAAAACATATACATATGTGTATATGTATATAAAACTCCACTTTTTATTAGGCTTACACTATTTTCAATGTGAAATGTTTAAATATCAAGTTTTTTTTTAAAAAAATCAGTTATTTCAATTTATATAACAGAGTTTTAAACATCCACTACATTACAAAGAAAAAAATTAACCCTATATTTAACATCAATGCCATATTTTTGTATATTAAGATTTGTGAAAACAAGCCAGGCATAGAGGCACACATCTTTAATTTCAGCACTCGGGATGCAGAAGCAGGCAGATCTCAGTGAGTTCAAGGTTAGCATAGCCTACATATAGAGAAGACATCCAAAACCATAGAGACCCTGCCCCGTCCCTTTAAAAAAGTGTTAAAACGTTCCTATTTTCAAATAAGCTATATATTTTCAAAGTTGACCTAAAAAAAGGAAAAAGAAAAAAAAAGAGAATAGAAAAAAGGAAAAGGGAAAAAGGAAAGGAGAAAGGAAAAGGAAAAGGAAAAGGAAAAGGAAAAGGAAAGCTTTAGCCAAAAGATAGCTAACATTCTAAAGAATGCCACTGGGGATAGTTAGTGGCACACACCTGAAACCCCAGCACTTGATCACTGGGGAAAAAATAGATGGCAAGACTGGAAGAATAGCAAAGTAAATATTTAAAAAAGATACTTTATACCAATAGTAAAGCACGAAGCATTTACTTTCAATAAATACTGAAGAAAACAGTTCTTATCTCTACAGGTCATTTGGAAAAAATTAAGACAAATATCACTATTAGATCCATGCATTTTTAAAAGCATTTCTAAAGCATTACATTATTTCTGTTTAAAATGTAGTATAATAGAGTGTGAAAGTAAAAGTCATTTGGGTTCTTACAAGGTGGTCACACTAACTAGTTTTAAACCAAGTTTTCAAGTGACTATAAAATAACTTCAAGTTTTATGCAAGTTATTAACCAGATGAATTTTCACAACTAGCAAATATTACATCAATAATTAATAATGATAAAAACTATTTGTACACATGTCAAAATTTTTTTGTTATTTGAGATAAGGTTCCACGTAGCCCAGGTTGGCCCTCAACAATATATAGCAGGAAGATGATTTTCAAACTTTATTCTACCACCTCCCAAGGACTGAGTAGGTGGGCTTACAAACATGCCACCACACCCAGCTTCAAAATTTTCAATTAAAGCCCAAACTTCTTATAAACAGTTCATTTCCATCAGCCATTAGGATAAATCAGTCTTTAACAGATATATACTTTAGATATAGTCGTGTATCATTTTGCTGAGAAACACCATAAATATGTGATAAATAGGTGATTCATCAGTAGAGGCATAAAAGAAGATTAATACTAAATATTACTTGTAAGAGGGAGAAAAGGGAAAGTAGACCTATTCAGCAGGTAAAGGTAACTAACAAAAAACAAAAATTAAGTGTATGAATCTACATATTTAAGAACTGAGAAACAGACATTTGGAAGTATTAAAAATACTTACTTTTCAAAGGAAATTAACATAAGCACATAAAACCCAGAGTTTCTAAATATGGGCTAGAAACATGAATCAGCAGTTAAGAGCATTTGTTGCTCTTTCAGAAGACCAGAGATCAGGTCCCAGCACCCACATGGGGGCTCACAACCATCCATAACTCCAATTCCAGAAAATCTGATACCCTCCTCTTCTGACCTATGTGGGCACCAGGACACTTTGTGGTGCATATACACACAACCAAGCAACACACAGAAAATGTTAAAAACTTAAAAGAAAATAAGAAAGAAAGAAAACAAAGGCTTCAAAAAAGTTTCTAACTCAGTCATCCATGTGTTTGACCACAAAGTCTGACTACATCTCACAACCATCCAAGATGAGTCTTTAACCAAGTTACAAAATAGCTTCATTTCTGTTTTACTATTTCCTAGTAAATAAAAACAAAAGTTATGTATAACAAGTAAGATAGATAACAGTGATGCAACAGGAAGAGGAGACAAATGACAAAAAATCCAAAATGATTACTAATAGGAAATCAAAGCAATTAAAACATTAAAGAGTTCTCTAAAAGCTAATTTTTCCACTAAATGATATTTGCTATCAACTACTAGTATATACTCTGATCTAGAATATCTAATAAAGCAAAATATTTTAAAGGTTTTTTCCATTTTCAATAATGAACATGTTAAATGAATTTAATCTTCAGTAAAAATAAAGGAAAAACTGACTATGCTCTTATTTTATGCCTTTTATATGATGGTGTCACCATCTTGTCAAAATCAACTGCTTTTTAGTACTAAATTGAAAACTTCTCACCAGCTTACTAAAATGGTATTTACAGTAGCCACAGTACTGAACGTTGTCTGCACCATTCCCTTCTTCTTCACAAAGCAGCCCAGCAAACTGAGCACTGCAAAGAAAAGCCAAGGACATAAATAAACCTCAAGCCACAATACATTTAAGCAAAGAAAATGAACTTTTGAGCATCTGTAACACAAGATAAAGGGAAAAGAGGTAATATAGGGGCAAGAGGTCTAGCTGGGATAGGAAACCACCTGCTTATTTTCAGTATGTGCCTCCTAGTAGTGCTGGAGTCCACCTTGCTGGCTCACAAAAGGGGACAATATTGTGGCCAAGGTCATTTCACCTCCACTTGCAATTTACCATTCTTTAATACTATGATTATAGTCATGACAAACTCTTCATCTCTATTATGAATAAAGATGTATCAAGGTTTTATGTCACCAAAACGGTGATTAAGTTGCTTTAAAAGTTGCATTCAGTGACACATGCCTATAATCCCAAGTGCTCAGGAGGTTCATAGAGTTGAGCCCAGAGTTTGAAACAAGCCTTGATAACAATGAGCCCCCCCCCCAAAAAAAACACAGTAACAATGTTTCATTAAGATAATTATAATTTCAAAAAATAAAAAATATTAGAAAAAACAAATACAAGTAATGAAAAAAGAGTGGGGAGAGAAATAAAGTCCTTTTCTCTTCATAATTAGTACTTCATACCTGCAAAGTGGTAACAAGTACACAGATGCAAACAATGCACTTTCTTTTTGTGGGATGGTACTGGGGTCTCTCACACACTAGGCAAGCACACTACTACTCAATTACATCCCTATCCCTGTTTATTTGTCATTATCTTAATTCATGGATTCACTGGCAGGTACACCCTGGAACCAAAGTGCATGTATAGAGGCAGAGATAAGTCGGTTTTCAATCTTAAGCTTGAACTTTTCATTCTGTTGGGCAGAGCTTGGCCACCTGAAGCTGAAGGGGCTGGGTCCAGGTGGCAGGTAGGAGCCTAGTTTTGTAGGTCATCAGGGATGGAGCCTGACCACCTATATGTAAGGGGCTTATACAAGGTAGTGTTTGATCTTCAGCACAAAAGAAAAAACAACAACAACAACAAAAACTATTCCAGTAGGATCCACTGTAATAATACATGGGTAGGCAGATATTTGATTACATGATGTATGCAACGATGGAAACATACTTACCAGGTTACATGGAAAGCCTGTCGACATCCATGTTTATTACATGTCATACAAGCACCAGTGGCTGCTTTGCTTTCTCTTCCTTGTTCATCACATATATAGCAAGTCTTGGAATAAAGGGACAAAAACAAAAATGAAACAGAAATCATAGGCATGCTTTATATGAATCTGTACTTTACAGCTATCTTCAAAAACTAATACCAAATTTACTATCTAATCTTCTTTCCTAAAGAATGCTACATTCACAAAGGCATTGTTTTCATTAGCATTTTCACTGCACTCAAAATCCCTGTCAGACAAGCGGCCTCTTCAATGGTACTGACATCAAGAGGCAGAATACAGTCTTCCATATCCTACAGGACAAAACATGTGAGTCATATTTAGGTTACTTCAACTCTCCACATTACCGATTACACCTCAATAACATAATAAGCTGCAGTAGAAAGAAAGCATGTTAGCTTAGTAAATCAGTAATTCTTTAAACCAACTCCAGCAACTTTAACAATTTGTTCACTTCCCATGTAAAATTAAACGTTGACAGCTCAAAATCATGTGTAGTCAGTGATAGAAACTTAATTCAAGAAATACTACTTTTTTTTCCCCCTTTGGTTTTTCGAGACAGTGTTTCTCTGTGTAGCTTTGGAACCTATCCTGGCACTCTATCTGTAGACCAGGCTGTCCTAGAACTCACAGAGATCCCCCTGCCTCTGTCTCTCAAGTGCTGGAATCAAAGGCATGTGCCACCAATGCCCAGCAAGAAATACTACGTTATGATGAGCAGTATATAGGTGAATAAAATAGAAGTTGGTTATACAAAAAACAATGCCCAACTACTGTAATGCCCATAATTACAGGGGCTTTTTAAGAAACAGAGGCCAGGAGGGATATAACACATATCCATAATCCTCAATACTCAATAGGCTGGTGGTAAAAAGAACCACAACTTCAAAGCCACCTAGATTACATTGCAAGGTCCAGGCAAGATAAGACCCTGTCTCAAAAAAAGTTGCCAAACAGGGGCTGGAGAGATGGCTCAGAGGTTAAGAGCACTGACTGTTCTTCCAGAGGTCCTGAGTTCAATTCCCAGCAACCACATAGTGGCTCACAACCACCTTGAATGAGATCTGGTGCCCTCTGACGGCATGCAGGCAGAAGACTGCATACATAATAAATAAATAAAATCTGAAGGAAGGAAGGAAGGAAGGAAGGAAGGAAGGAAGGAAGGAAGGAAGGAAGGAAGTTGCCAGACAGCGGTGGCACACACTTTTAATCCCAGTACTTGGGAGGTAAAAGCAGGCAGATCTCTGTGAGTTCAAGGCCAACCTGGTCTACTGAGAGAATTCCAGACAACCAGGGCTACAAAGAAACCCTGTTTTGAAAAACCAATAATAATGATAAGTCTAGCCGTTAGTTCTTCTTAAGAGCACAGTTATTTGTCACAGGGTTTGGAGTTCACGAATAAAGCCACTGTTAAACTAACAAGAATTCTACATTGTATCAAAATATTACAGCATAAAACCATCCAGCTGTGACTAGGTAATGGAAATTAAAAAGAAGGGTAGGAGCAATAGCTCAATTGGAAAAGCAATTGCCACCCAAGCATGAGAACCTCAGCTCAAGCCCCAAAACCCAGGCAGCCAGCATGACTAGCCTACATAGCAAGCTCCAGGTTAATAAGAGACCCTGTCTAAAAAACATCATGTAGGGCACCAGAGAAATAATACCTGATGTTGACAACAACTGGCCTCTATACACATGTACACACTTGTTTTGTTTTGTTTCTGTTTTTTGTTCTGAGACAGGGTTTTTCAGTGTAGCCCTGACTAGTCCAGAACTCACTCTCTACACTAGACTGGCCTTGAACTTAGAGATACGCCTGCCTCCTCCTCAGTGCTGGGATTAAAGGCGTGTATGTGCCCAAACCAGGCTTCACACATATTTTTTAAAAGGTGTAACCACAATTGCCTAACAGTACAGGCATTTCAAAATTACAGCAGTGAAGAGGATAGAGGGCCAACTCAGCAGAGTTAAGAAGACTGGCTGCTCTTCCAGAGGACTGACCATCGATGCTCAAGCTGTCCATTAACTCCAGTCCCAGGGGATCCAAAACCTCTGGCATCTGTAGGCACTACGCACATGTAATACATACATGTATCTAAAACACCCTTACATATAAAGTAATGAAATTAACTTCTTAAACAATTAAGAGTACCAAGCCAATTGTTTTCTATACCTGAAGATCAGGAGTTTAAGACCAGCCTGAACTACATGAAACTTTGTCTTTCCAGGCATCATGGTGCAAACCTTTAATCACAGAACTTGGGAGGGAAAGGCAGGTGAATCTCTGAGTTTGAAACCAGTCTGGTCTAAGGAGTTCCAGAACTTTTGCTGAGGGCAAGATTTCTGCTTAAAGAAGACAGGTAGGTAGATCTCTGAATTCGAGAACCAACCTGGTCTACTTATTGAGTTCCAGCACAGCCAGGAATACATTGAGACCCTATTTCAAAAAACAATGAGAAAATACAGTATAGTCCTCAACCTGAACACACAAGATATCATTAGAGGAAACATAATCCTGCCAGACAGTGAAGGTAATCATAACAACAAGAATACCCCAGGTTCACATCAACTCTGAACTAAATAACTCTTGAACTTCTTTCCCCAAAACATACACAGCAACAAAGAGGCACACTCATTTCCAGGAGAGAAAATATGCACTGGAGTCTAGGATAAACCATAGCTGCAGATGCCTAAACCTATATATTGTTCTTGGTTTAACACGGTACCCCAATGGTCCCAGAGACTGGTCAATAAGCCACAGAACTGTTTTCTGACCATAGAACCCAACAGAATTTTTCTGCTGAATTACAACCCTTCCTTATTATTATTTTCTTAATAAACATACTTTTGTGTGCATATATCTTTAGGAGCATTACATACGCATGGGAAACCAGTTGACACTAGATATCTTCCTCTACTGTTCTCCATTTTCTTTTGTTGTTATTTGATTTGCTTTTTGTTTTGTTTTGTTTTGTTTTTTGGTTTTCAAGACAGGGTTTCTCTGTGTAGCTTTGGAACCTATCCTGGCACTCTATCTGTGGACCAAGCTGGCCTGGAACTCACAGAGATCCCCCTGCCTCTGCCTCCCGAGTGCTGGGATTAAAGTCGTGCACTACCAATGCCCAGCTCTATCTTATTTTTTGAGAAAGTTTCTCACTTGGAGCTAGACTGGCTGGCCAACAAACCCCAGAGATCTATCTATCTTCCTGTCTCTGCCTTCCTAGTACTGGAATCACATGCTACCATGTCCAGGTTTTTTATGTGGTTGCTGGAGACTCAAACTTGGGTCCTCATGCTTGAACAGCAAGCATTTTACCCACTGAGCTGTCTTCCAGCCCTACAACCTTTCTCTAGATCAGTTACTCCCTTTATCCTTCAAATCTTTCTATTTTGGAATAAGAACGTCTATACCACACCCTTTGCTTTGTTATATAATGTTTCACAAACTGAGAAAAATAGCGTGGATCCAGATATAACTTCCCTGATTTAGACAGAGAAGATTTAAGACTTTTTGAATTCATTATGTTTAGGTAAAATATAGGGTTGGTAACAAAATGGATTGAGATTTGGGTGAGGCTGTGATAAAATGAATGTATTTTGCTTTTAAGACAGAACATGCCTGGGATCTACACAGAGAAACCCTATCTCAAAAATAACATTCCCCCCCTCAAAAAAAAAAAAATCAAGAAAGAACATGGAATTTGGGGAGGGTCAAAAAGCACAATGCTATAGAAAAAATTGTGTGTATGTTGCTGGCTGGTTTTATGTCATCTCGTCATAAGTTAAGAGTCATGTGAGAAAATGCCTCCAGAATAACTGGCTTTAGGGCATTTTATTAATTAGTGTTGGAAAGAGAAGGGCCCAGACCATTGTGGGTGGGGCCATCCCTTGCCTGGTGGTGCTGAGTTCTCTAAGAAAGCAGGCTGAGCAAACCCTGGTGAGTAAGAAAACAAGCAACACTCCTCCATGGCATGTGCATCAGCTCCTGCCTTCAAGTTCCTGACTTGGCTTCCTTCAACAATGGACTATGATGTGGACGTGTAAGCTAAATAAGCCCTTTCCTTACCAAACACACCAAGTTCATTGTAGGACATGATCGGGAGGTATGTGGTGTTGCATCCAAGGAGTAGTTGGCCACAGAGCTGCTCAGGGCCTCCAAGGACAAGAGGGTGTTCAAGTTCCTCCAGAAGAGAGTAAACACCCACATTCATGCAACAGGCAGCTAGAAGAACTGAGCAATATACTGTCAGCCTGATGGAAAGAGCCACCCAAAGACTGAGCCTGCTCTACTAATTCCCTATCCTCAATTAGCCTTTATACTGCCCAAAACAAATAAATAAAACAAGCTCTTTATATTTTTCAGGAAGCTTATAAAATAATAGTAGGTTTCTGTATGACTTTTTCCAATATCCTTAATTATCCCCTTCTGCATTTCCTTCTTTGACCTGCCCTCCCTGCTCTCCTCCCCATTTAAATCTACATCCTCCTTATTCTCATTTCCCCTTTCATAATATATCCCTTTCAACTGTTGGTCAGGGAGGTCCCAGAAACCCCAAAGCAATACAGGCTCTTGTCATTGTTCTTAGGTACCAACCAGAAATTAATAGTATGACCATATTGTTGAAGACACCACATAATTTGGTCACAAGACATGGAGAAAACAAGCTGGTACCATCTTGGAAACTTACTCCCTACTGGCTAGTTTTCAGAATCCCAAAGGGTGCCATGTAGGCATCTGGGGGAGAAAAGCCATCCACAGTGTTACTTAACTGGGAACCCTGTGAGCTGTAACAACCAGCCTGACAAGCCAAACCAGTATAACAGTGGCATGAACAGTGAGTGAGTGGTATGGAAGCAACCAACTGCTTTCAGCCTGGACTTAAGGTCTGTTCCAATAGGAGGAAACTCATGCATGGTACTGAAAATCTGGCCAAGAATCCAAAGTTGAAGACTATATTCACCCTAGTCTATCACTATTTTATTTTGCTAAGCTGACATAGAAACAAACTGCCTTCTAAATAGTTATTTCTGTATCTACAGATTAGAC